ATATTACACAGCATGGCTCCATAATAACACCAATACCCATCCACACACAAAGGGAGAGGGAAAAAAGAAAAAACAAAACAAAAACAAAGGGGCAGTAAAACCATTTGCATACTTTTGTATGTATATGGGGGCGTGTAAACAGCCCCTTTTTTTTGGTGTTATTATTGTTTCATATTTCTCTCGCTGCTGCGTTTTTCTTTTGTTTGCACGATGTGTGTGGCTGTGTGTGGAAACCAATTTTAAATTTGTTGCCACTTTTGTCGAGTTACGGAGCATACTTTTCGGCGCTTCGGCATGGAAACTCCCGCCCGTGCGATAGGGTTTCTTTATGCATAATTTGATACGGGCCGCCAGACAATATGCGAGTTTACAATGTGCAAGAGCCTATTCTCACCTGTCTAATTTTGTCCGTGGATGTGGATAAGCCGCCCACAGTGGGTCGTCCGTTGACAGACCCTCATGCCCTTATAGTTTATTGCCTTTTGTCAAGCGATGCATAGTTGAATTCCACAATTTATGTACCCTGTAGGTGAGTTGATATGATATACACAGTCAAGACTGCGTTGACATTAGATTGGTTTAAGGAAAATCTAGTCTTTGGTTTTAAGAATCTATTAAGGAAAGTTTGAGAATTCAAATAAAACACACTTTAAGACGCTTGCTCCTTGCATTTAAATTAAGTTTTTATGGTATAGAAATACCCTTTTAAGGGGTCTAAAAATATGCAAAAATATATTTAGAGGTGAAAAGTTCGATAGATTTATTACGAAAGGCAAACTTTATTTTTTTACTGCCTACGCAGCTTTACAGTTATTTCAAACAGTTACAGTTATTTCATGATTTCTTACTAATATACTACTTATATTTATCTTAACCGCCATATTAAGCTGTTTTTAGCTACTTCCTTAATTACAAATAAATCTTGATTAAAGCTTAGTAAATAAAGCTGACGATTAAAGCATATTCAAGCCCTGTCTGTCAATTGTCATGAGTATACAGCAGTCGGGAACGGAATCTCGGGCAAAAGTGTTCCACGACAGCAGCATCTGTTTAAACTGTCAGAAAATACCGGCACACACACGGACACACACGCACACACCGCCACGCTCTGACACATATTGTCATAAAATTATTCAATGGATATTGTGAGTGCAAAAGTTTTCGGTCCTTTTTTATTTCATTTTTTTGGGAGCTTTCCCGGCCCGTCCCCTCTTAGCCCTTTTGCAATCTTTTTGAATAGGATTTTGTAAGCGTTACAAACTGAGGGACGAACAAAAAGGAAAAGCATTAAATGGCAATATGAGGAGCTTGCTTTGATATTGGATTTCGGGGCGGGGATCGTCCGTTGCGAATACTAAATAGGAGGGGGCGTGGCGGTCAAAGTTTATGCCAAGCCACCGAAAAAACCAAAGCGTAATTACCAAACCCATGCAATGTCCAGTTCAAGGTCCGTCTCGGTTCGGGATTTGTTTAAAGAACGCAGCTCATTCATTCGGCCCAAGATAAAGTGCTACCAATTAACGCAAAATAAATAAAACTCAACTAATTGTTGGAAAAAGCAGACCATCGACAAAGGAGAAGTGAAAGAATGGGTGAGTGGAAAAGGGCCAATGTGAATGAGATAGATCCACTTACAGAAAATAATGAGAAACTTAGAAATCGTTCGCGAAACCATTAGTAAAATGGTCTTTCTTTCGTATTGTATATATGTTGTACTAATATAAATTTGTTTTGATTGTATATTATTTTTTGACTTATCTTTTCTCAAAAATGTATAATTAGTTGATAGTTTTAAAAATCTTAGGCTAACAGTCAATTCCTAGTATAAATAGTTTGATAAAATTATTCCTTCATTTATATGGCAAAGTCGCTACTCTTATTTGAAGGGACAAAATGCTGGAAAATAGCATTAGTAATTTATCATTAGTAATATATTTTATTCAGGTTTTTAATAGCAATACCTTGTCAAAGGAAATTTAAGGCAAGAAAATATTAACATTAATCATATAAATATCTCCACAATTTTTGAAAACACTTTTTGAGGAGTGCAGAGCAAGTTCTTCAAACGGACGTCGCGTGGTTGCGTCCACTTGTCTCCTACGCTTTCCTTCTTTTGCTTGACTCTCTCCTCTTGATTCTCCATCTTTTTGCCTTTCTCCGTCTACTTTCTCCGCCTCCCCCTCCTCATTCTCTTGTGCCGCTCCTCGACGACAGTCAACATTTCTGCAACTGCCACAATGTTGTCTTCTTTTCTTGGCTTGGCCCATTTTTATTTCGCTTCTTGCTACTCGTTTGCTTGTCCCTGTTTTTCTGCTTTACAATTTTTACTGCCCGAGCATTTGGCGTTTATTTTTCTGTTTTCTGTTCTTTTCGACGTCCCCTGCTCTTAGCAGTTCCTTTGCTGCTTTGCTGCTCTGCTCATTGTGCAAACTTGGCATTATTGTTTCCTAAGGCCAACAACGAGAAAACACAACGTCAACAGAGGGCAAGCCGGGCTAAGACCGGCGTATTCTGGACATATTTGGGCGACGGGAAAGGAAACTCCATTCCACCTTGCCTTATCGCTATTGCTCCTCCGCCTTTGTTGACTATTCGGCGTTTCTCTATTGTTTGCAAATGCGCAAAATTAAAAGCGGGAAAAGCGGGAAAAGCGGGAAAAGCGGGAAAAGCGGGGCAACGCGAGAGTCTGAAACGCAGTTTTTAAAAGGAAATTTCTCAAGGAGTTCTCCGCACTCCGCAGTCCGTTATGTTTACATTTTCGCGCATATATTTAATTAGGCTAATTAGGGAACGTGCCCTGGCTTTGGGCAAGGCTTAGGATCCGTAATTTATTCGCCGCATGGCTTACTGCACTTTGAACACAATTAGAAGAATGGCCAAACACATGACAAGGCCAAGGAGAAATGGTGAACGGCGAATGGAGAAGGGAGAAAGGAGAAAGGAGAAAGCGGTGGCAGCCCCAGTGATAAGCATAAGAAATATGAGCACCGGATATAAATTGTGTCAGCGGCGAAATGATAAAAAACCACTTAAAGGCGCAAACAATACGGCCGCCGGGCGGAGGCCGCGAAGAATCCTGCCAGCCGGCACAATGACAAACCGCTCCGCTAACCGCAACTGGGCGGTGGTGGGAGGGGGAGGTACAGGGGGCGGGGCCAGGACCCACAGATAGCGCAGACTGCACGACGACAGCGGAAACAACAAAAGGACACAACTGGCGGTGACTGTGCAAAGACGATGTGCTGGTTTGTGGCACACTAGAATGGCGCACTCAAAGAAAAAGATTCCCAAAAATATATTACTTAAATATTGTCTACCACGGCATAAAGGTTATTTAAAAAATGTGCAACTGCTTTAAATGCAATTATATTCCATCGTGGATTTTTTTTATTAATTCCTAAACTAATATTGTTAAATAAATACCAATATGCTTGCTGTCAAGCAAAACGCAATCATATCTGTCCAACTAGTCGAATGCGCAATATTATTAATACGTATGCATTCCAATGTTGGACTAGGCGTATGCTTAATATGTATATTTTGCCTGATTGAACATTTTTTAAATAAATAAATTATACGTAAACTTATCATTATTTAATTTTAAGCCAATTCATTCATTGTCTATTAAACTAAAATTCATTGTTTTGAAATTTGCAAAATATTATATATATTTTTTTGAGTGCCATAACAAGAATTGTGGGAAAGCTTTGCCACCGTCAAGTCATTTACGACGTGTCGCTGGGGGATCCGGGACGAGGGGCGGACTGAGGGCAGGGGGCGTGGCAGCCTACCCACCAGAACGTCCAAAGCCCTCAGACGGACATTAACAAATACAATAAAAGCGCCAAAGATAGCACGTCAGGCTTTTTAATGCGCAAAATTGCAAACGTTTGCTGGGTCTGTGCTGGGCTGCGAAAATAATGCGAAACGGAAGAAATTAGTTGCGTGCAAATTTATGCTCGGGGTTCGTTTTGTCGACCCCCTGTTCCGCGGGTCATCGGGCACAGGAAAAGGGTCATTTTGTAGACGCGTGAAAATTCAGGCTCGGGCCACTTTGGAGCGTGTCGTTTCTTACAATTTTCCATTTAATATTTATGGTTTGCACGAGAAATAACAGACCAAGGTGGTCCAATAAGTTGCAAGGTTTATGTAGTGGCCGCTAAAGGCTGAGGCTTTAAAGCTGACTTTATAAAACTTTGTTATCAGTTTCCCAGAGTTTAGCTTAGCATAAGTGTTAAGAGGCATGTTCTGGTCTAGCCGTCCGTTCTGTGCTTTCACCCTATTTTCTTTTTATGACTATTTAGCATTTCCATAGAGAGCCGTATGTGAGCTTATACGAATGTTTTCAGTTTTATGGCATTATCCTGATTCAATCTTTTTATGTTGCTCAGTCTATAGTTAGCCAAAGGGTAATAAGCTACTAGCGGCCTTGTTTTTAAAGCCTTATAGATAGCAATAATAATAAATAAAATTGTATATTGTGTTTAAGAATATTTTTATTGGACTATGATAGTATGTACTTAAATAAGTAATTATTACTTCCATTTTAAGAGTTGAAAAACCTTCAAAGAAACCAATTTAAGAAAGACTTTAATACTGGAATCGAAAAATATGTATGCGAAAAACCAGTTATAAGCAATAACTGGCTACAAAAGTGCTTAAAATAGTAAAAAGGACTTTCACCCTGCCCCATGAAGACATTGAATTAAATCATTTTCCCCCATAAAGGCGATCCATTTTGTATTTCCAAAACATAAGGTCAACCCCCGCGGTCACAGGACCTTGCAAACTTTCACATCGCATTAAAATTTACGACCTTGGCTGCGGCATCTGAATGCTCTTGGAGGCACTTGCTGACACAACTTATCGTCAATATTTTGGTTTTATTTCCCTTTATTTACTTATTTTTTACATTTCCCCTGCGGCCGTTAGATTGAGATAACGAAGGAGGAACTACTTAGGCAACTTTTAACGTTTCCGCTCTGTTTTTCCCTTTGCAGCTTCGACGTCCGAGGGCGGCCCTTCGAGAAGGCCCTGTACTGGTCGGACACGAACTCATTTGGGCCACGTGCGTATTTCGTTACCGGACAGCAGCCGGCCAAGCTTTCGGTGGACAACATTCAGCTGGACGACGAGGGCGTAAGTGGCTCAAACTGGACCATTACCACCCGAAAACTGCGCCATCTTATTGTACATTTTTTATTCGATTCCCTCAACAGGTCTACCGCTGCCGCGTCGACTTTCAGAACTCGCCCACGCGTAATCATAGAATTAACTTAACGGTTATTGGTGAGTACCCGAAAGGCAGTGCACCGCCATTAAAGAAAGCTCTGAGCCTGCCACTATTAGCTGCACTTTAAGAAATAAGTGTGCACCTTTGCAAAATGCCTTTGTTTTTTAAAAACTTCTTAAAAAAAAAAAAAAGAATGGTGCATTAAAAAGGTCAAAAGACCCCTGTTATTAGATTACTAAAAGTAAAATTAAATTATGAGGCATTTTTCGGAGTAATAAATCTTACTTTTCTTAGTGCATCCTTTTTATAACGAATGTCCCGCTTTCTCCTCTCTTCCCCGCAGTTCCTCCGCACCAAATACTCGTGTACGATGCCTCCGGTCGCGATGTTGCCGGAGCTGTGGGTCCATTGCTCGAGGGCGATAATATTGTGTTGACATGTGAAGTGCGTGGCGGTAAGTAAATCATGATAAACGACACCAACGCATACACGTAGCCTCTGCCACATAAATGTGGCACTCAGACAAAAGGCTATCAAGCTGGGGAGGTTGCTACAAAAACGCAACTGATTCCAGTCGTACACAGAGAAAAAGTATGCTCCAAAATTTGACTTAACATACAAAATCTAAATTATAAGGCCAAAAGATGGGGTTCGTAAGCAATTTAAAATGTCTTCTGATAAATGTCATGACGCCTATCATATAAACTTTAAGTTGATATTGTTTATTATTTTTAAATTTTTATATTACAAACAACGAACTAATTTCAAGTGATATAAATATTCTTTACAAATAAAAGGGCTGCAAAGAAAAAAGAGAAATTGATTGGTTAACCCGAGATAATTACCTCCTTTTTCTCCGTGCAATCTCTAGTGAAAGATTCAGTTTCAGCCTCGTTCGCATCCATTCCCACTCGAGCCAGCCAGTCTATTTAAAGAATTAAAGATGAAAGGCTCCAGATAGGCCCCAGCCGTGACCGAGTCTGCTGGCCTGAGTGGGGCCGTTCTGGGCCGGGCCTGGACGGGCTGACTAAGTCATCGTAAATAATAAAAATAAATGTATGTCAAAGTCTGCGGTGACATTGCCGCTCCACAGACACCAGCACATCGTCTGCTCCTGCGTCTGTGGCCGCTGTCATTGCCAGTTTGCTTTCAGGGCACAAATGCAACAATGTGGAGCGTCTGGCGTGCTTTTTTTGTGCACGCCACATCCATTGGCCGAGCTATGACCTGTAGGCATATGCGGCATCGTAAATCTTTAAAGAGGTCCCCAAGGTGAAAGGCTCCGTCGCACCCCCACCCCCTGATCGACCGCATCCTCTAAACTTTTCACTCGCCTCTTTCTGCTGGCAAGTGTGAAGAATTTTTGTACAAGTTGCTCGCTTCGCTGGCTGGCTTGAGGGGCTCTCCTTGCATGACTGAACCCGTGGACCATGGATACGGACCGAACCAAACGCAACCCAACCCAACCCATCGGAACCGGCGATGGCGACGAATGCCCGACATCAGCATTATAAATCATTAACTTTTCTGACAACAATATTTTCGGCGCACACGCCAGCCATTTTCCATGTCAACTAGCAACGCGATTGGCGAACTCGCTTTTTTCTCTGCCCCATACTAAGTGGGTTTTTCCCAGAGCTTAAAGTCGAAAATGCAGCTGATGATGTGGAAGTTGTTACTAATGCTCATGAAAGTTTTTAAGTCCGTTTGATAGTGGAATTAGTTGATTGTTCAAGACAGGCAGTGGATACAGTTCATTGAACTGCTTGAGTTGGCTTTAAAGTTGGCCATATTTAATGGTTTTCAAAAAGTAAATATCTACTTCATAGTAAAGGAAATATCTACTTCAAAAAGAGGAATTAAACTAACCAAAATATTATTAGTACGGCTGTAACGACGGTAACGAATTTAAGTCAAATTCCGTTGATAATTTAAATAAAAAAGTTTCCCTAATAAAGTATCCTGCTGTGGGACTAAAAGCTTTAAAGGGAGAACAAAACTTCTGTGCCAGCCAGCACTCCTTTTTATAGCCTGAATACCAAAGAGAAGTATTGAAGAACCTGCTTGAAGCCCGCTCTTGAACTTTTCAGGCTCTAAAGGCCGAAGTAGTGGCCCAATTTCGGCTGAAGGATGCCTGCCTTTGTGCTGGCCTCTCTTGGCAAATGCCAGCTCATTATTGGAGGCTGCTCCGGGTGATTCCTGGGCTGCTGTCACCGCTGCATGCAGTGCTTCTGTTCACGTGCAGCACTCTGCTGCCAAAGGATTTATCCTGCGTCTTGGAATTTCGCCTCCTGGTTTGCTTTTGCAGCAGTGCCTCACGTCGTCGCTTTGACTAACCGCATGTGAATGAGCTAAACAGCCAGTTGCCGGGAATCAGCTCACAGCGGGTTTTCCGGGAGGGGGTTTGTGTGCCAGGATGTGGCATTAGGGGGGAGGGGGTCTATGTGAAACTACGGTGACGTCGACAACATTCGCTTTTGACACCTGCTGAGCGACACGCTCCTTGGCAGGTGGCACTGCTCTGCAGCGCCTCTGATTTGTATGCAACATTTCCCCCATACCCCCAATAATCCGCCACAAGCACTTAGGAAAATTAAGTTTTCTAAAATCTATTTCAACCTGCTTCAATAAAGATACTTTTTTTTTACTTCACTGAGTTTTACATAGTATTTCTTAATAATTTTAACATTTTAAATTATTTTTTTCTTTAATAATTTCATATACATATGTACAGTTCTGACGGAAATTCTAAAATATATTAAGTAATTAAAATGCTTTTATAAATTAAATTATTCATTAATTTGGTTTATTAAAACCAAGCTATTAAAACCATAAAAGTCTACTTCTAACTACTTCTACTTCACTTACCATACGATTTAATGTATTATTTATTGTGACATGCGTTATAAATCTAAGTCTGCAGCTCTGCTAAAAATACAAGTACTAAAAGAATACCTTTTATTGTTCTTAATATTCTTATTTTTTCCTAGATTTGTTTATTTAAATTTAAGACCCATTTCGTGTATTTCCCCAGTGTAAGGTCTGGCTCCTCCGAAGACCGCAATGCAAGCTCGTATTTCATTTGGCTCCTGCCAAGGGCTCAAAGCCAAATTAACTAATATCGCAATTTCAGCGCCACATGGCGTCGACGGAGCGATGGTGAGGTATTGCGGCCGGTGGGTGTTCGCATCCTGATTAAAGCTAATGCAAATCCTGACGCTACTTTTATGGCCAGCCACTAATCATAGCCCCCGGCACAATAAACGCCAAATGCCAAATTGCTTTATCAAGTTTATTAACTTCGACTAATAGCAATTAATACCGGCAATAAAAAGCTAATCTAGGCAGGCCGCCATAAAAGGAGTCCGGGTTTATCCATTGTGTCCGGCTCCGGTTGCGCCGTCCTTTGCATATTTGCCCCCCAACTCCGGCGGAGCATTGTCCGGCGGAGCAATTGTCAACAAGCGTAAGTATGGCTTAGCAAATGGCAAACGCGCTGTCTTCATTACACAAAGGAAGTGGGGTCGAATGGAAGGGAAGTGGCGAGGGTGGGGGAGGTGAAAGCCAGCTAAATGCCGCAGGGAAACTGTTATTTGTCTATTATCCCTGCATTCCCATCCCGTCCAGCTTTTCGGCGTGTGTGTGTGTGTGTGTGTGTGTCCTCGCTGGCTTATTGTCGCCGAGTATCCTTTGCAATCACCCAGCATTCTGGCAGTAAATTCCCAAGTCCACACTCCAGCTATCAGCTACTTTCGCCTCCAATCTCCAATCTTCAACCCCCAATCCTCTGCCAATGCCAATCCCCAGCTGCTTGTTGCTATTGTTGCTCATTTCCGCCGCATTCACTTGGCTCACTTAATGGCCCAAACCAAACCAAACCAAACGAAACCAAGCCCAATGGCTATGCCAAAGGCAAGTAGTCGGGGCCCAAGCTTTGGGCACTTAAACGGATTAAAAATATTTTCGTACATTTGATATGTGAGCGAGGGAAATGCCTTTTCCTACCACTTTCTCCGAGCATTCAGCCCTGGCAGAAAAGCGAAAAAGTGATTGCAGAATTTCAATTGAAATGCCGGGGTGCAGATTCGGAAAAGTGCATCGAGGACTCCCAACTCTGGAGAGTAAATCGATAGTCAATCGAACATACAGGCAAGTCATATTTTATTAATTTAATATTTGGTCTCATTGGGTAAATTGAGACAGGTGGAAATGGGATTTAAAGAGGATGTGAGTAAGGGAATCTATCTTCTTTTGAGCTCCTTTTTGCTTTTTACTTGAATTGAAGACCACTTATTGAAGTTACAATAAATAATCAACGAAAAAGTCTTTATTTTTCAATAAAAGCAAACAGATGAAAATAAAACTAAAAAAAGTTTAACATCAAGTTTCATTTTAAAATGAAAAGCATTTCAGAGAGCAGCTGTGAAATTGTCCTTTTAGAACAGAGATTTCTGATGCAATGACTAAATAAAAATTCGTAAGACAAGTTGATTACAAAAATAAAAAAGGTGGTTTTTATATGAACTTGAGTTTTTCTGGTAACAAAATCTACAAATGCAAGCGAACAATTCTTTAATGCGTTGAAGATCATTTGGAAACAGCCTGCCATATTTAATTTTCAATTATTTAAATATTTAATAACATACGGATTGTAAATCTAAGCGAAATCCATAATGAGCCAACGATTCGGTAATTCACTTTTAATTATTGTCTAATATTTTGATAAAGTCCATAACTTTGTGATACATTAATCTGCTTTGCAAACGCCACCAAATACAGTATCAAAATGTGCCCTTTCATCCGTTCTCCCTCCGTGTCGGTATTGTTTTTCCCTGGGGGTCATCAGCATGTCCCCAAAAACTTTCCACATCCCTCCCTTTGGCTCACCAACCAACTAATTCAATATTCACGCTTATGCGTTTGCTGGGAAACCCATGACCGCCTCCTGCCTTTTTTCGACCATCCATCCATCCTTCCCGGCCAGTGCCCCAACTTTGCTAGTTAAGCTGGCTAAGCCTTTTTTAAAAGCCTTGGGTACACACTGCTAAATGCGCATTATCATTAAAATGTTGAAAGTTTCCTTCATTTTTTTTCGGTCATAAATTTTCGAACGCGGCTCTGTGGTAACGCCGCATCCGTTAGAAAACCACCTCGGGAAAACTCTCTCTAGGCGGGTTAATAATGCATGAGTGGAAAAGTTTGCTGCCAGCGAAAAACAGTTGGCACGAAATTTAAAATTAATTTATGCATTAAACATTAATTTAAATTTAAATTTGAATTTCTAGGGTATAGAACAAAATGTTACACTTTGGGTTAGGCACTCGCAGCGTAAATGGCTCATAGAATCCAATACACACAATTGTTTCCAAATTCATTGCTCTTTCATTAAAGCAATTGCTTTGCTATGAAGTACTTTTAAAATTGTATTTACCTATAATTAAAATCAGTGAGTTTTAGGAAATCGATTTATTAAACCGATTATTTTGAATAAATTTATTAGAGCCATAATATTGAAAATATAATCCTACGGGCCTATTTTAAGGAAGAGCCACCCACATATTATCAGTAAGCATTTGCTAGTATTGTATTTAAATAATAAATACTATATAAAATCCGTACAACAAGACTTAAATCTGTTTTGCTTCTTTTAATTTAATTGTAATACAATTGGTAAAAAGACTTTAATTGAGTTGAGAAACAAATACAAAAACGCAATAAGGCAATATTTTCTGTTTGTTTTCAGTTTGTTAATTTGACTAATTCGGACTTTAAAACACATAACTCATTTGTCAAAACCAAGTGGGTAAAACATAGAGTACAATTGTTTCACGAGATAAACAATTTCGGTCGTCAACACTGTTTTTTGTTGACTTTTCTAAGCCGTATAAAAAATATTTTATTTAACTTTATATTCAGCCAGAAATTATTTAACAAAATAATTTATTTGCGGCCGTGCTCTTAGATAATTATGAACAAATATTTGGTGTCTGACAGGCGAATATACATGACATTTTTTTAGAATTTCATTAATGTTCTTCAGATGGGTGGACATAAATTGAATATTTAATTCGGCAAAGTGATCATCATGTACACAATAAATAATCTGAGTTTCCCCCCTCATCAACAGGTCGACCCGAGCCCACGGTGACCTGGCTGAACGGGACGCGCACCCTGGAGGCGGGCAGTGGGGTCTCGATGGGGCGCCATGTGACCGTGAACCGGCTGGAGGTGGCCCAAATCTCGCGCTCCGCCCTGAACAACACGTACCGCTGTCAGGCTTCCAACACGAAGCTGGTGGCGCCCGTGGAGCGCAGCATCCGCATCGAAATGTTACGTGAGTGGCCGAGTGAACGAGGGCAGTCGGTATTGCCAGTCACGCCTAATCCCCTTAAACCTTAAACTCTTACAGTCAAACCCACATCAGTCAATTTAACCAATAAGTTGAAGGTCTTCGCCTCGAACACGCAGTACAACCTCACCTGCATTGTGGCCGGTTCGGTGCCGGACACGGAAATCAAATGGACGCAGAATAATCGGCCCTTCAAACGTGGCCTGGTAAGCTCTCTCTGTCCAGAGTCCTAACTCAATCTTGGCCAGGCGAAAGCCAGTCTTATTTATGAATTTCCTCCTTTGGCCAGAGGGCACTTTTCTAATCGATTTCACTCCATCTCTTCACCTCCCCTACCCCCACAGCTGTCAACGAGCCAGGGCAATGGCAGAGTCATATCCACATTGACATTTTATCCACAGCCCGAGGACGACGGCACGATGCTCAAGTGCGAGGGCTCCAACCCACGGCTCCAGAACTCGGCCATCGAGGACTCGCTCATGATGAATGTCATCTGTAAGTGGAACGCTTAGGGACACACACTCACAGAAAAGAGCATGCACCAGGAAAAAGGGTTAACAATCCCGCTCACTTGATACCTTATGAAATTTCAGTACCTAAATATGTTGCGTTAATCGCTTTGGAAACTGTTTCGGCTTGCACTTTCGAATTTGAATTGCTCGTATTCGATTTGAGTTTAAATAAGTTTTCCATGCATTTCAGCAAACTCTAAGTTAATATAATGAAGTAAAGTTTATAGAAATGCGTTAATTAGTTAAATGATTGCAACCAGAAAAAGTACATTTAAGCCGTCATGAGGTAGATACTCAAATAAAACTTTCAAGAAAATAATTTTCATTATATTTTCAACGATGAAACATTTTTGAAACTCCTAAAAAGAAATGAAATAATGTTCATCTTTTATAATATAATAATTATTACCCATTAAAGGATGAATATTTTACATTACATTTCAAAATAAAATTTAAATTTTGTTTAACAAGTTTTCCAAGTTCTTTTAACATTTTTCTCCAAATTAAACGCATTTTTTTTGGTATTCAACTATAAGATAAATGAGTAGAGCCAAGGGAATATAAAATCGATTAAAATATTCATAAATGCAGCCAGCGCACAAATCAAAGTCGCGTTCGCAAATAAGTCTAAATTATATGGCATTATTTACGTACAACACACGCTCCTTCCATTGGCATTGGGCCAGTATGAAGCCGTTCGCTTAAATGTCAATATTTATTCCGTTGACTTTTAGCGTGGCCATAAAAAAGCTGGCGAAAAATTTGTTGCCTGTTTTGCTTCGTTTCGCATATTTACTCCAGCGCCGGCAAAATGTCATAAATTTTACTTTATATGATTATCAATTTGAATTCAACGGCAATCGCGACCTAGAAGGTCGAAGGGTAGCAAAAGTGGTTTAAGTGCGGCCCACACTAGTTTAACTTTTTCCTTTGGGTTAGTTATTTTTGTGTTGTCACTTTGTTTTTCCTTCGGATAATCATAAATTTATTGAATTTTAAAGTCACGCATAGATCCCCAGCTATGTATGCGAAATTCGGCCATAAATATTGAATGGCAATGCGCGTAAGCTGCGAACTGAAAGTTGGAGAAAGTTTTCTCTGCCCTTTTGACCCGGTCCAGCGTGGAAATATGAAATTAGAAATACTGAGCGAAAAGCTGCTTTAAAGGATTAGCGGAGATGGTTTAAGCTTTTAATGGACCCGCTCCTTTGATCGGAAAACGGAGTTGGGCAAATGAACGACCGTGATTCATTTTCCCTTCAAAGAAAATTGTAGTAACTACCTGAAATCAACTTTTTTACAGTTTCCAGTCTGGTTAACCCCTTTTCCAGACACTTCCCTTAACCATAACAGTGAGAAATTGTTGCGTTCCCTTTTCGCGTGGCTTTCAGCCACCTTCTTTTTCGAGCAATCATGATGTTGTAAAAGCGGAAAAGGGGATGGAAAAACACTAAATATTTTATATGATCCATCATTGATATTGGGGCGTTGCTCGCGGCAACGGAACGATTTTAATTTAAAATTTCTGTCATACTCATTGGTTAGCCTCTTTGGATCCGGATCGAAGGGGCTCGGTGGTTTATAACGCGGTTCCGTCGCCGCGTTGTTAACTTTTATGGTTTGCGCTACGACGTTGTAGATTGATGACAACAACAACAGCGCTCCGTACACTTCGTCGTTTTATTATGCAATAATATTTTCGATTTTATATTTTATATGGGGCTCCCTGCAGCCTGGCAATTTGAATTCAAAATTCGCGCAGAGCACAGAACCAAATTTCCATACTAGCGCAACCAATTAAAGCTGGAACTGGACTATTAACAAGTGGCTTTTTCATTGGTCTTCCAGATCCGCCACAGGTCACCCTATCTCTGGGCTCCACACTGCGTCCGGATGACATTAAGGAGGGCGACGACGTCTACTTCGAGTGCCACATCAAGTCCAATCCCAAGGAGCACCGCATAATGTGGTCACATGACGTAGGTTTTGCCCAAAACTACAGTGCTTTAGCGGCATAAATTACCTTGGCTGTTCTCCATTCTCCACCAGGGCCAACCGGTCACCCAGAATGTGTCCTGGGGCATCATCATCTCCACTCGCTCCCTGGTTCTCCAGCGAGTGGGTCGGGTCCACTCCGGGTTCTACGCCTGCTCGGCGGCCAATGACCGCGGGGAAACCCAGTCAGCTCCGGTCAACTTGAGGATACGATGTAAGTACCTTAGTTCTAAGCGTCACAATTCTTGTGGAATCCCTGGCAACTAGTCTTAAGAAATATATACATGCCAATCCCGCTCTTGCATTAAATTTAGATACTTTAAACTTTTTACAACATTATTGTTAAACATTCTTTAAAATAGGCATTGGTTTCTACTATTTTACAATTTTAATACATTTTAAAGGGCAATATTTGCTAAGCTCAAAATTAGATCTCGCCTGTCAAAAAATTCTTAAATATTATTAAAAATAAATTTGAAGCTCAAATGACAAATTATTATGCGCACCGAATACCACTTTAATTTTCCTTAAAATGGTTTAGTTACTAAACGTCAAACAAGCAAAAAAAAAATATATATCTAGTGATCGGTGATAAATTGAAAACCATATACAATTACATTTTGTAATATTTATAAAAAAAAGGGGAAAACCAAAAATTTGCACAAAAATTATGCTGGCAGTTGCCAGTGAAGCAGAGCATTAAAAATACATATGCATAAATTTATGCGCATACCGAGGCAAAAAGGGAGAGGTGTCCCGCCCTTCCACATTTAGTCTATACCGTTCGGCAATGATAACTGGGCGGGGCCACGCCCACATGGCCCAAAATTGGCAGCCACAATAACAACAGCAGCGGCTGTACACTTGACAAAATCGGACAATATCCTTGCCCCCTCTCCCCTTCCGACCATCGAGCACACAGGATGGACAACAACAATGTCCAAAAACTAAAGTATGCTAAAATGACAGAAAATATTTTGTGCAAAAAGCCGTAATATGCACAATGCAACGGATCTATATTGTGCCGCTCTTCTGTCATCCGTTTACATCGTGGTATGTGGCCATATAGTATATATAAATATATATATAAAAAATGTGCATAGCTTTGTGCGTGGGTGCATTTTCAGTTTGTGTTTTATCAAACAAACGACACAACTTCACAAATTTTTACTTGCCAAAAACGTAAATATCAACGCCCATTTGCATAAATTTTAATTCAAATTTTTCGTTCATAAAAGCAACGTAATAGCAACTATCATTGATACCCTATATTGTTCCAAATCAAGATATTTATTCAACATTTTAATATCTTAAACCAAAAGTATGTTGGGTATTAATTCTAATTATGTAACATTGTCAAGATTTACAAATACAAGTGTCTTTTATATTTATTAACTAAACTTAAATCTTAATGTTGACAGCTTTCAAATATAATTTGCAAAACATAGACCATAAGATATTGAAACTCTAAAGGAAATCGCTGTTTTTGGCACTTTAACAATTGTAATTAAATTCCTGTCATGTTACTTTAGTTAAAGCACTTCAGGGCATTTTTGGTTTTGGCTCTGACGGAACATAAAATAAGATAATTCCTTGCAGGTACATTTGCTCCATTATTTTTGGCAAATAAAATTTGAAATAGAAATGAAATAGGACATGTTTAAATACTACTACAGTTTTCGATAGGTGGTTAAATAGTTAAAGCAAGCTTCCTTTCTTAAATGCCATCAAACACTAAATGTCCTGCAATATTCTACACCTGTCACGGTTCTCATAGCTCTGTCCTACTTAATTGACACTGTTGTGGAAACCCATTCCATTTTAATGGACTCCAATTACCATCGGAGTCAAACAGTCTGCTCCTTGATAATCAAACTCGGGCCTCAAGTGTAAATTGAAACCAAACCAGCGATAACTCAATTGATTTCTAATTGTCACAGCTCTGATTTGACGTAAACTTCCATTATTCCCTTTGCTCCGTTATTGTCATAGGCAAACCAACTAGCCGCAGTATGGGCTTTTTCACACTTTCAAGCCCAAAAGTGTATGTAATTATGATTTGTGGACAACACAAAAATAAATGACCTATAAACGCCGCTCGGAGCCTTTGTGTGCACATATTGAAAATGTCTCAATTACCGTTATAGAGCATTTACTTCCGACTGTATTTCTAAATAATTAATGATGCTTAAATACCAAACAGCGTGTGTGTGTGGGGCACTGTTTGTGTTTGCTTGTGCATAAATATGCATATGCTTTCACAAAGTAACCGCCCGGCATTTTAATCGGGGCCAAAAGTTTAGCCCGAACTTAATGTGTCAGCTGGGTGCGGGCTTCTGGGTGGCTAATAAAAATGAATGATCTGCTTTTATTATCGAAACTCACAGTCATTACTAAACCATTTATAATTATGGGAAAGGTCGGGCGAACGGACATCGGACATCGGGCAGGTGGGACAGGTGAATGCACACACATTCAGCAGTGCGCTGGGGGAAATTCAATTTTTATTTTGCATATTTAATGCTACAATAACCCGTTGCAGTCCCACATGCAAACAGGGCGAATTAACGAATATTATTTAATTAATTGCCTGGGTTAATGAATATTTTGATGCCATTTAAACCTGAGCTTGCATGGCTAGTTTATTAAACTAAAAAAATGTAATTTTCTCCGATTTATCCGCCTCGCTGCACAGATTCCACATTTAACTGGTTGAAATTTTAAGCTTCCAAATTAATAAAATTTAAGAAATATTCTTGCCCACCCCTTGGGCTAAAAAGCCTTGTTCACAAATAAACGTGTCCGAATTCATGAAATTCCGAACAAAAAACTATTGATTTAAAAAGATTGTAAAAAATTTATTGTTTTAAAAATTTTCATAGAGCCTAACAAAAAATTATTTATGAATATCAAATGAAAACATATTCTAGCAATTTTGCAATACGAATATTAAAATAACAAAACAGCAAAGAAAACCGTTTGAATATCAAAAAATATAACCCTTGCATCAGCAAATAATGATCAATATGAGAGGCAGTTAATGGAATATTATTCAATTAATTTTCTATGAAAATGAATATTCTGATGCCGTTTACAGGCAAAATTATGAAGCCAAAAAAAAACATGTAATTATCCCCGATTTGAGCGCCTCGCTGCACAGCTGCCAAATTGAATTGGTTGGGTTTCCGACCTCCAAACTCAAATAAGTAGCTACAACTGGTTGCGTTCAGTGAAAACAAAATTTACGCCGCATCAGCATGGGGATATGAAATCGAAAATGAATGAGAAACAACAGGCAACACAAGCGGAAAAGGAAAATCGAAATGGAAAACGAAAAACGAAGACATCAGCAAACGTTTGCATTGCCGTGCCATTATCGTTACCGCTGCCGAATACCAATACCCAATGCCCGTTACCCTTTTTGATAATTACGATAATTGAAAGTAAATACGAGTACAATGCATAAGGATACATCGCCACCGACTGCTGTGCAAATACTACGTGGGCTATTTACACGAGCATCGCGCATACGCCACGTAAACATTTACATACAGATTGTGGATGGGGCTGTGGATGGATTGATGGTTGATTGGATATGGAATGGGCTGGGATAGAGGTGGGCCCTATATGAGTGGGGTTTGGGGGTACTTCTGTGGGCCAACGATTGAGATAAATTGATTTATGCCTGCGAGCAGTTGGCCCGTATCTCGGCACAAATTAATTAGCAATGGTTAAAATTGACATTCTACGATTGCGAAATTGACGCCGTCATAAAAATATTATGAGTGCATGGAAACGGGGCAGCAGTCTATGGGATCATAAAACGGAACAATCAACTGCAGCTTTATCCCTCTAGATGTTTATAATAATCCGAAATTGCGTACTTATGCCGCAGATTCATGGCTCTTTCCAATTTGCATAGCTAGAAAGATGGCACGAGCTAGAGTTCATAATTTTCGCAAAATTCCAACTGGCTCTGTCGTTGCTCTGCAAACAATTCCATGGTTTTCTCTTTTTTTGACCATCATGCGGAGTTCTTGGCTTGAGTTTCCCCAGCAAATTGCACCTTGCGCGCCAGAGAATTGGCACTGGCCACATGGCTCGGCCTAGAATTGCGAGAATGCCAGTGACATCTAGATGAAGCACAAATGAGAAACCATGCGAAATAGCGAAGAATTTATGATGTAGGTCCTCGAGAGCAAACATTTCTCTTCTAGAAAAGGAAATAAACTTTAACCGTCTATTTAAAGACTGAAAAATAATAATACCTATGAAAGCGGTAGGTATTGCATCATGTTGAGTGCAATGGATAAAATTAAAAGATTTTCCCTTCAGTTTATATTTAATTACGGCATCAAAATTAATTTCGCAATGATTTGACATGAATTATCTGTAAATCACGTATTTTATTGGAGAAGAAACTTAGTTAAACAAGTTATTAACTCCTCAGCACAAACAGAGAAAACTAGCTAAAGTTTTAGGTGCAGACCCCTTTTGAAAAGTAAAAAACCATATACAAATTTTGTCTTAGACTTTTTAAAATGTTTTAACACAGCTTTTCCACCTAAAACGCCAAATTTAAAAGCACAATTTTCTCTGTGTAAAGATCTGAGAACATTTCTTTATCAACCGATAAAACATTTAGACATAGTTTATGGATATATCTACTACATCGTGTACAAATATTTGGATACAAACTCATTACACGATTTTCTGCTTACGTCGCGACACACTCAACTTTTCGAATAATTTTTAATAAAATCCAACAAAAAGTGTTGCGGCTTTGGTAATAAATGCCTTTAGGTGCTTAGAGTGTTGCGTGTGCTCCCTTCCGCTGTTGTTTTGGTTGTTGTCTGCTGTTGCTGTTGCTTTGTCTCTGCCGCGTTGTTGGGTTGTTTATGACAGAATTCCGTTGCCACAGGGCAAACAAGGAACAGAATGCCACGCACATCGCACATCGCACACTTGGCGCAGTTTTCAAAAGTAGCTAGCAAAAGTTTTTCCAGCGTGGGAATTTCGGGGAGGTAAGGGTTCATTTTTGGCATGCCTCGTGTATGACATAAAATTTCAAGTTCAATCGTTTGTAACCAAAAACGCAAAATGAGTTTACTTTGAATAAATCATGAGTCAAATAGAAGGAGTCCCCCACCTTTAAGCTAAGACGAAACTTTTACGCATTTGTAAGGTGGAAATATGTTGGAGTTTTTCTGGAATCTTAAAGCTTAAAACTCAGGAATTAAATGCGATACCCTCGAATCTAAGTAGTATTCTTATTGGGTTTTAATTATAAAATATCCCATTGAAAATAAGAATAGAAACAAATTTTATGTCAGTAATCATAATACTGTTGCAAAATAAAAGTTTGAATTTGAGTATAATTCCAACACATATTTATATATTCTAACACTTAAAAAGATAATTAAGAATAATAGCCTACCAGAACAATAAGGTGTAATTTTTATTCAAATCCAATAATAGCCGTAATTTATCTAGAAAACTCCAGTTATCTTAAACTTATTTTAAAGATACAAAGTTTAAATTTATCCCCCATACCTGAAGAAAAGTGTACGCCAGCTGCTTTGTTTAAATTGGAAATCTGAGCTGTCAATTTGCCTGGCGCACCCCTTCCCATTCCTTCGGCCTGTCAGCACAATGTTTGCAATATAAATACTTGATATAGACGGAGGACAATCGGACAATTGCAGCTGCTCATTATTGTGCATTTCGTTCGTCCCCATTCCGCTCTAAATTCGATCTCTCAATTGTGTCGCCACCAGATGCGCCCGTCTGCAGCAGCAGCACCATCACCGTGATTGGGGCCTCCTTGGAGGAGGCCGTGCCCATTCCCTGCCGCGTCAACTCCGACCCGCCTGAAATCGACTTCGAGTGGACCTTCTCCTCCAGCGGGGAGCACTTCGAGGTGCCCTCGGGCCACTACGCCACCATCCAGGACCCCACCATGACCACCACCAGCGATGTGCGGCGCACCGTCGTCGAGTCCAACGAAACGCACTTCGAGAGCTACGGTAGGTCTACGCACTGGGAAGCTAAGCTTTACTTTATAAGGATTATTTCGGAGCTCCGTTTTAAGGAAGAATCATTTAAATTACAGTCTATATAGTATATGTAATGCCATACACGATATCAAAATGTATTTGTTTGAATTATTCTCATTAGTATGGAAAACAAATTACAAATATAAATCATTTCATATATATAACATTTTCATACACTAGTTTAAAAAATTAATAAGACATGCTCCATAAACGAAATTTTTTTTTTTTGACAGTCTCTTACTAAAAATAAAAATTAAGCTTAACAATTTTGTTTAGTACAATTTTTTTAAAGTGCAATTATAAGTTTTATTATTGATCTCTGGACTTCTGGTTAACCTATTTTGGTCAATAAATACCGAAATCTCTTAGCTCCCTATTTTTTTATTAACATTTTAAAAAAGATTAAAAATCATTTAGTAATCAGTCTAAATGATTTTTAATCTTTTTTAAAATGTTTATTTAAAAAAGTTTAACAGAGTATTACTATTATTATTGCACTGTATTACATATACTATATAGACTGTATTTTCAGTTCGGAGCCTATGGTGCGAGTGCATTGGAGAGGCATTTGCATGTGCTTGCGCTTGAGCAGGCATTAGAAATTAACACTTCTCAGAGGCCTAAGTTCGGCCAGAGGTGGTATACACCTGTACAACTGAACAATAGGGGTGGTAGGTTGGGAGTGCAGAGACTTTTATCAATATCATGCACATACTCGCACCGCATAGTCGCAAATTGGATTATCTGCTGCCGTCCCAGTTGGCTTGACTGAGCTGCTTGGGCAAGCAGAACTTATTTCATTTAACTTTGCCGAAAAGGGCAATTTAATAAGCGCCGAAACTGAATTGCAATTTACACCTGTATTCCATACTCTATTCACCCGCAGTGGAAACCGTCAGCGAACTGATCTATACGCCCAAAGGCGAGCGGGACTACGGAACATTGGCCTGTTACGGCCGGAATGCCATTGGAAAACAGTCGGAGCCGTGTGTGTTTCAGGTGGTGCCAGCAGGTGAGTCCTACTGTCTCTTATTAATTATTGTAAAATTAACCTTAAATTAAAACGGAAATGCCCAAAAAATATTTATCAAGAAATAACAAATTAATGCTTTTTCGAAACCATTACATTTTAGTGAATACTTTTTTATACATAAAGAAACAAAATAGTATGAAGTATAAATCATAGCAAAATCAAATGTTCTTAAAAGGAGATTTAAGTGTCAGCCAAGAAATCTATTACGTGATTATTTTTTTATAAATTTGAAAATAAGGTTTTAATCAGTTTGGCTTGCTTTTGTTTTTTGTGACTTATTAACTTAACACTTAGAAATATTTTTCCCTTTCAAATTGCCCAAATGTCAAATATCAAATTATAACTTTGCATTGCAAGAATATTAATTGGCTATCGTAGGAACAATTTTCCGCAAGGAGTACCACTTTTCTCCCCAGTATACGATTTATTTTCTGCAACATAATATGTATTCTTTGAATGTTGTTTGTCACTGATTGGGTTCGCTTTCTCGATCATTGTAGCCAAGCCGGGGGCACTGCGAAACTGTACACTCCGGCCGTATGTGGTGACCTCCGCCTCGCTGAACTCATCGAATCAGACGACAATGCATGCCAATCAAATGCTGCCCACACAATACGGCAGACACGAGTCGAATTACCCGCACATGGAGTACGTACGTGAGCGCCATAACAGCAGTGGCGGCAACAATGCCACTGGCCGGAACAATGCGCCCAATAAAAATATGAGGGGCAGAACCAGTGCTGGCCAGGCCAAATCTAATAATAAGCAGCTCAGTCAGCAGCAACTGCAGCGCCTCAAGAAGCGGACATCATTCACACCGTCGCAGACTTTGGCAGCCATCGAGAGGCAGCGGCAGAAAAAGCAGCAGCAGCAGCAGCATCAGCAACAGCAGCAACATCCGCAGGCACAGCAGCAACACCAAGCCACTGCCGGCAAGTCCAGTGGCGATGGCAAACCTGATGGATCGCCGGCCAAGTCGCCAAAGCAGCGAGTGCGGCGTGCCAGCCAAATCCCGCAGAGACAGCAGCAACATCAGCTGGATGCAGGCATCCAGTCCCGGCTTGCAGCATCAATAACAAGCCAGCGGAAGCCGGCAGAATCAAATTTATCAATGTCACATGTAGGCAAAGGCAAAGGCAGCAGCAGCAGCAACATCAACAGTAGCAGTAACAATGGCAAACTGCCAGCAAAGTATTTTAATAAGCGACAGAAAAACATGCACAAACAAAGGAAGCAGCAGCAGCAGCACAAGGAAACAAACGAGCACAACAGCAATATAATCCATCATTATGCAACTTCTAGGAGAAGCAAACGGCTGGCAGCAAATGACATCTTAGCAACTGTGGCGGCAGCAGCCACATCGGCATCATTATCATCCTCCTCGGCCACCTCATTGGCAGCCACGGCCACGGCGGCGGTGGAAATCGAGCAGGATGTTGCTGCTTCCAGCAGCAGCAGCAGCAGCAACAACAAGCGGGCTCGCAAATCCTTAACCATCCTTGACAAACAGCAGAAGCAGAAGCAGCAGCAACAGTTGCTGCCGCCGAATGCCCCGCAAATAAGCAACCAGCCGGCAGCAGCAATTAGCGGCAACAATGTCAAGGAAACAGCAGCAACATCAGCACAAGTTGCAGTTGCAACGGGAGTCAAGGACAAGGCGTCGTCCAAGGAGGACTCAAATGATACCGACGATGGCGACGACGACGACGACGACGATGATGATGATGATGAGGCAGAGATGGATGCTGAAACAGAGACTAATGACGACGAGGAGGAGGAGGATAATGGGGCAGGGGCAGGTGCCCACGATGACGACGCAGACCTGGATGAAGATGTGGCCCAGCTGCCCACCGATGCCGACTACTTGGCCGATGGTCCTGGCGACCTGGAGGAGTACGAGACCGTGGAGGAGGTGGACGGCCAGCCGAAGCATGTACACATGCTGTCCCTGGAGGAGCAACTGGATCTGGAGTCGCTGGAGGACAATGTCGAGGAGGAGGAGGCTGGCGATGACGACGGCGAGGTCGATGATATGTACAATGTTAGCGATGATGACTTTGTGGCCAGCGTGGCCCTCTCCACATCCGACACCACAGCCTCCGTCACTCAGAGGACAACGGAGGGACCCCGCACCAAGGACAAGGCCACCCAGACCACTGAGCCCGCTGCTGAATGGCAGCTTCCTCATTTCGACTACTCACGCATGGAGTACAGCTTCAGCAACGGAGTCGTCACCCAGAGCTTGCAGGGCGGATCGGGTGCTGGGGGCGTGGCCGGGGGTGGGGGCGGACACGACGGCTTTGCGGGCGGCGGAACCATTAATTTCGACAACTACGACAACATCATCTACTCCACCATGGAGCTGGAGTGCATGCCCGGCTACGATGGCGGACTGCAGCAGCAGTTCTTCCTGGAGGCCTACGACTCCAAGACCAAGAAACTGAGGCTCAACATGAGCAGCACCTATGTGGATGTGCCGGTCTTTCGGATCGATCTCTCAGGTGAGTCGGTTTATTTATGATTTCAATTGAGAACGGAAACTGCAATGTAGGATTGCAATTTAGACCACCCGACGAACTGCTAAGGGATTTTGAGGCAAACTTTCTTGATTTAAGAAGGATTTCTTTTGGTTTAAAAAAAAACTTTCTTGAAAATAGGCATGTTTTTCGTGGACTTAGAAAAAATATATTTTGATAGCGAAATTTTGAAATTAAAGGATAACTGTATTTTGAATAAATCATTGGATTAATATATTTAAAATTCAACTTGAATTGTAATTGTTTTTGTTTTTTTTGGTAAACAAGATTAATTGTGTTTGTACTGGGATTGTTTAAAAATACTTAAAATATAAAATTTGTTTAACACAGTGTTATAACATCTTCTAGAAATGTTATTGAGCTCTAGGAACACCATCTTAAGGGGTTAAAACAACAGAGTATAGAAAGAATTCCTGTTAATTGTTTAAAATACCCATAATAAGGTGCTGTTCTTTTTGAATGAAGTTTTGTATATTTTTTTGTCGCAACCCAAAGAAAATATCCAAGCACATAACTTGCCTAAATAGTCGATTAAACGGGCAACTCAATTGCTCGGACTTTAATGGTCCCGGGGAAATCCAATATTTCCGCAGATTCTTACTGGCCCAAAGCAATGTTTTATTACACGATGCTTATGTATTATTATATTTAAATGAGGTTGGCTTAGAAATCACGAGGCCCAGGGTGTTGGCGTACAATATTTACAGTGCTGTGCGAAAGCCGCAAACTAAAGACTTGACTTTTATGCGGCCAGCAGCAACAAGGACCAACAGCAACAACAAAAACAACAACAGTGGCAGGAGCGGCAGCGCAAACAGTAAAAACAAAAACAAATCAAAGTAACAAACTGAGCAAAAAGTTGAGCTGGCAAAATTGCGCGTTGGCTTCAAGACAAGGAGAAAATACTGCGACTGGGAAGAGGAATAGCTGCACTGAGAAAAATACAGCAAATATTCGTTCTAAATTTGCATCCTTGATTGTTGGTCAATTTTCTCAACATCATTGTTTTGAGTTTTGCTTTTATTCAAAGTCTAACATAGATCAACAACAATTTTTTCACAAGCTAAAACGTTTCTAAAAATTTCGAAAACCCTTTAAATTATATATATAAACATTCGGCCTTTATTTATTGTTTTTTTTTAGGTCGTTCAAAATGTTATATTTTAAGATGTTTATTCATTATATGCTTTATTTTTCACCAGATAACTATAAAAATTGATTGTGGAATAGCCCTCCACAGTCGTATCAAGTATACTTTTAACTTTGAAATGTGGCTAACAGTTGCCAAATCCATATTTTACATCCCTGATAGTTTCTCGCTGTGTAGCTAGCCAGCCAGCACTACGCAGATTAATTAGTTGAGGCTGCCAGGACCTCAACCTCCCCCGCCACTTTCTTCTCCCTCATCCATTGCTGGCACATGCTGTTGCCTGTTTTGTTGTAATGAATTTTAGCTAGTCAGCAAAACTTTTATGCCAATGGCGTTTTGAGGTGGGGAATTGGATGAAATAGAATGCTGCCGGCGGGGGTGAGGGGCGGACGAGGGGGACGAGGGTGACCGGGGGCGTGGCTGGCCCCAAAGGCAGAAGAGAATTCGAATCGAGCTGTTGAAAAAGCCAGATTTATCATGGGGGTTAACAGGGAACCGAAAATTATAATATTACATTTGATTCAGCGGGTATGAGGCGAGTTAATGAGCCACATTTCGGATTATTAAAGTTGGCAACTTGGCAACGGGAGATGGCCCGATCTGATCCCTGCTCCAAGCTCCAGGCTCCAAGCTCCAAGCTCCATGCCCCCAGTGCTGCAGTGGCATCTTTTTCAGCCAGCTCCACCATATCGATGACTCGGGGTTAAGGGGTTTCGGCGATATTTGCAAAGTCAAACGAAGCGTAAAGTCACGATTAGTTAGACAGGCGTGTTAACGACGCCGTCGGTGGATTGGATGGGGATAGGGAGGGGGTGGATAAAGCGGGGTGTTTTGGGGGCATCCACCAAGTGTTTTTGTTCCTGCGGCTTGCCAATGTATGCGTATTAGTCCTGCCACGCCCCCTGCCCCATGCCCCCACCTCTGACCTGCCGCCCTTGTGCAGTAGTTGCCATTTTAATGAGCTGCTATCGGTGCAAGGAGCATGGAGCACGAGCACAAACAAAACTTTTGATGCGCGCATTAAGAAAAACCAGAAAAACGGAAAAACAGAAAATCAGAAAACACAGCGGCAGGGATAGGGGAAAAACACACGCAGTCGGGAACTTTTCATTTTATGCGACCGAAGTTTCGCACCGCGACGTGCTAATTAAATGCCTGTTTGCCTAATGAAGTTTGCACAGAGCACTACAAGTTTTAAATTAATGATCAAAGATGACCTGACCAACTCTGCACTAAGACAAACAAAAAATAAACCTCAAATATTAAATATTTCTAACTTTCAAATAATATTAGTATAATAAATAAAATATTGCTTGTTATTTTAGATTTTTTTTTTTTTTGATTAATCTTCAAATCTCTTTTAAAAACTCTTTTATAAAAAATATCTTAAAAAGGGAAATAAAATTATAGGTGGGATTTCGATTACAACGTTGAACTCACTCGTTAAACAAATCGTTTAATTAGCTGTTTTACTAAAATGATGTTAGAAAAGGTGTTTAACTCAATGGGTTTAATTTTTAAAATATATATTTATATATATCAATATCTAATAATTGAATAAATTATTAAATAAATTGAATTGAATAACACTATTATTTAATATTCTTTACATACAATATTTGAGAAAATAAGCTCAAACAAATTATTGGGTTGGGCTGCATAAATCAGCACAGCAACTCTTTTATAAAAAATATATAATAAAGGGAAATTAAATTATAGGTGTGATTTAGATTACAATGTTGAACTCAATCGTTAAACAAAGCGATTATTTAGCTGTTTTATTAAAAAAAGATGTTAGAAGGTATCTTTAAGTCAATAAATTTATATTATCATAAATCTTTTCGGATTTAATATTTAAAATATATATTTATATATACCAATATTTAAATTCCATTTTTAAATAATATTTGCCTCGCACTTTTGAAAATCCTTTTGGTGTTACCTTAAAACATATCAGATTTGTCTAGCAGAATGTAAGGGTGCTATCTGAATGTCGAATTTTTGTTCATGTGAAAACGACTGTTACCTTTTGAAATATATTCTCTGGAAATAATCTTTTGGCGTTTGCAAAGAAAATAATCTCTTTGCCCTGCAGTGAGCTCTCGGACTAATTAATTTTCTCATCCCACCTCTGCCCAGATCTCCTGCCCATGGACTACTATCCCGATGCCCATCCGGCCCTGCATTTGGTCGTCTACAGCGTCAATCAGAAGGGCCGCTCCGAGCCGATTGTCCTCGAGAATGTGCCCATCAATGAGGCGGACAAGCGTTCAGGTAGGTGTATAAAAAAATGAGGAGAAAACTACTGCAAAGTTTTCCCAGACGGGGGAAACGGGAGGGGAAACTTTCTCCAGACCAGGACAGAGCATTCATTGCTTTTTAAGCACCATTTCACCTTTAAAAAGTCATTCAAGTATTTGCATATTCCGCTTAACCGTTTTAGTTTCTTTCTTTCATTCATTTCTTTGTTGTGGTTGTTGTTGCTGTCGCTGTTAGTACAATTGCTCTTTTATTTAACGAGTTTTGTTTACGCTGGGGCGACACTGCAACTCCACTTTGCGCCACGCCCCCTCGGCTCATCCCCTCATCCCCTCATCCCACATTCCTGGCTAGCCAAAGTAGTGACACAAAGATTTCTTATTCATGCTTTGTTATTCAACTTTGACGCTAATTTTCCTTAAAAGTTTTCCCTCCCTGTACAATTGAGGTAAAAAGTGTGAAAGTGCTTGTTTTCAAGCGTGTGTAAGGGGGTAAAAAAAGAAGAGGAAATTACCTGGAAAATTTGTACGAAAACCTTATTTTACACGCTGTATTGGCTTTAAGAAAAAACTTGTCATTTTAATATTGGAAAGCCCTTTTCAAACCATAAATGAAAATAGTCTAAATAGTCTAAGCCAATCTTAGCCAAACCAAAGCATTCAAATGTTGTTTTGCAAAACTATGTCTAAACAAATCCTAATATGGCATTAAACTTCCATTTGAATCCCAAAATCACCGGATGAGGTGCATTAATAATTGAATCCCAATAACACTATTATTGAATATTCTTTACATACAATATTTGAGAAAATAAGCACAAACAAATTATGGGGTTAGGCTGCATAAATCAGCACAGCAATTGAAAACATTTTAGCCACATGTGTTTGTATAAATGTAAGAAAGACTACAAGGTTCAAATATTCTAAAACACAATTTGGGAAAATATGGTGAGCTACCCAAAGTGCATACAATTCTATCTATAATCATCTAAATAGTTTGCATTATTTCCAATAAATCCCTTAATAAGCCTAAACACTTTTCCAAGACCAAATCGATTGGTTTTGAGGAGGCATTAATAATTGTGTGCTCCATCGTTATTGCATCACCGACATTATGGCTAAATTGCGTTTGTTGTCTCACATTCAATCAGCCGAATAACATAACGAACAAATTATGCAGCAGCATCCAAGTATTTATTGCATCAGCAATTCCAATGGCAACACTACCTGACCAGCATCATTATTAAACGCACCGCACGGAGAGTTATGTATTACTTATGTTCCAAATACTGTCCGCACTTGGTCAGCCAATAATGTTTATCTGCACAATTGCATATTTGAACGCTTGGGCTGCCAATCGCCATGGACAACAAATCCACTCAATCATCTCCCTAATGCGCTCCAGACACACAAGCCGGCCCATGGAGAAGGCTCCGGCAGATGGCCATTATCTGGGTGTGGGATAGATTGAATGCCGGCCAACTTATCCGACGTATTATATCACAGCTCGGTTACATATCACTCCTGTGTGTGGGCGACTTAATTTTTGGAACATGCACTGCAATCCACCTACGCCAAGTGTCAATATTTGCACCTTGCTAAATCCGAAAGCTTTTCTGCCAACAGCCGAATAAAATCGGTCAGGGGGATAGATGGGCGGCAGAAACATTTTACAATGCCAACACTTGACGCCACATTAATGTAAATATAATCAATTTCATGTTTTAGCCAAAAAAGCGATGGCAACGTAAAACCCCAACAGAGAAAAGAAATATCTTGTTATGCTAAACTGACACACAGAGATTCCCCAGGAGTTACATTATTCCACAAGCATACACTGACACGCACTGAAAAAAAATGTTAAGGAACGAAAATTCCTAGTTTAATTTTCATATTTGTGTGTACTTATGTCCTTTTACTAAAGCTTTCTTATATGATACTTCATACAATTATTATTAGGAAAATTTTTGCATTATATCTTTAAGATTAACTTTAAAAAATCGTTGGTTCCGAAATAAGGCTTTAGAAACATTTTTAATTTCGGTTGAACAAACGTTTACATTTGTAAAAAGTTAGCAACATATAATTTTTGAATATTTTTTTTGCTAACTGTTAGCAGCGACTTCTACACGACTGTTCTCCCAGTGCACACACATCCACGAGTACACACACCCACTCTGTGGTCGCAAGGTAACAAGGTATCAAAGGCAGCAACGGAAACCGAACAGACACCGGAGCTATAGCGATAGCTTCTGATACTGCTCCATGCTGAGCTCGGGCCCAAAGCCCAGGCGCACAAAATATAAACGATTACTGTACGACAAGGAAAAATACATTAAACATGTCTTATCTGAATACGATATCCCAAAAGACAACGGTGCAGAAAGTGAAGTAAAATAAAATAAAATTATATGTTACGGCGGATCGAAGAGCGGGCGGCAGGGAAATGTGACCGCCATTGCAATAGATGACAGCCAGCTCCTTTCTTCGCCACTTTTGTACCGCCGTCTGCCTCGTTTCCTTGAAATGGAGCGCCAGACGCAGACAGCGTTTCTTTATTTATGCTTACTTTGTGTAAACGCATTCCTGCCTTAAAACCCACACGGACACGTTGCCATACACTGCTAAAAAAATAATAGGACCTTGCACAGTTTTCGGGATTCTAAGTTTGGTCTCAACATTATACACTTTATATTATATTTACTAAAATTTTTATTCTGCAAGCCATTCGAATCATCCTTAAATACAACTTATTATGATTTAATTTTCCTGCCTTTTTAAAGGTAATGTATTATTAAAATAAAAGAAAAACGCTATGAGATGAAATATTAAATTTGTTTATCAGTCCGATAGAAATCCTTGTTGTCAAATAATTATAACAATCGTTTTTAAGAAAATTGACTTAGCATTTCATTTTCTCAGTGCTCTCCGTATTCCCAATACATTTTAACCAATCTCCTTTTTCATCATCTCATCGAATCATTTATATCTCAAACGGGAGCATTAAATCGAATTAAGCTTATGAGAGGAGGCAGCCGGAAGGAGGATAGCCAGGTCCTGCACTCATCCAAATGAAACCCATGCAAACAATTGGCTTATGAGCGGCACGCAGGACCTGCTCCTGCTCCTGTTTCTGCTCCGAATCCTGGTGGTCGGATGATGGGATACGGCTGACATGGACCGGAGCAACTGAGCTCCTGGTTCCCACACGAAGTGACTCGCTCGATGGCTCTTTGGTTGGTTGTCTGGCTTATCTGCTTAAGTCGGGGCAGGTGCATAGAGTGCGGCCCCAGTTGGTTGGCACACCATTCCAGGTGGTTTTATTGGTAAATATTTGCACAAGTGTGAAAATTTCATTACGCCAGTGTGCTTATATTTAAATTAAATTTCTTTTTCTTTTGGCATCTCGTCTTGTGTGTCGTGTCGTGTCGTGTCGTCGGTCCCCGTTTCAGTTTCAGTTTCTGTTTCAAGTGCCCTCTTCCTGGTTGCCAAATATACATTTTATTTGGCAAGCGATTGCTCGATTCGGTTTTTTATTCCTTTATGCCCTTTGTGTTGGGTTTGCTGATGCGATTGGGGATTTGTCGCCGGGAGAGCGGATGGAGAATATGCATATATGCCGAAGTGGATAATTTGAAAATGTTACCGCTCACATGCAAAAGGTGTTTCGGTCTTAGTGCCAATTCCTCACATTCAGCCATAAATGAGATAGTAAATTACGTATCCGCCATGTGGTATCTTCTGGCTGAGTATCAAACGGAATGATGAATTTATAATGAATTATTCTCACTCTGGCATGACATTGAATAAAATGAATAAATTTCGCATTTAATTTAATTCAATCGCTCGCCAATCTGCGCATCGATTCATAAATCATTTAATCGCTACATGAGCATACCGAAATTAAATAACGCTTTATTTATTTGCTCGGATGAGCGTTAAGGAATGAATAGAACAACTAGTATTTTAAAATGTATTTATGTAGCGCAACAAAATTTAGTTTACCAATCTGAATTGGGGCCATGCAAATAGGTTCCGTGATTAATACCGTCTCCTAAATCAGAATTCATTTGCCGTGTGCAATTGCCAGGCTTTTAGCCCGATCTAATTAAAATTAAAAATGTTATACGTCAGCTTGTTAGCTGTTCCCCCTTCGCCCCACTTTCCCTTAGTTTTTTGATGAGTTCAATTCAAATACAGCAAGTTGCAAAAGTTTATAACTCTTTCTGTTAAACAGAAACTTCAAAACCAGGAGTTAAATGTAATTTATTTAAATCAAGAATTTGGTAATAGTATTGGAAGTTTTAAATGATTACTCAGATAATATTTATTTATAAATCGATCAAATTATCTTAGTAGCCATAATATATATTGAAAGAGTTTTAATATAATTGTCTTACTAATTAATTTTTAAGAGATTTACAATGCATTTTTCTAAAAATGTAAATCTAAGAGTAAAACCAAATTTGTTAGTTCTTTACCAAAATTGCCCTCTCATGTTAAATTGTCCAGTATTTGAATGCTTTTTTTCTTGGTAAATCTCCATGTGTAAACTGTACAAATCGAAATACTAAAAATTTTTAACTTTTTGAACGTAGTGTATGGCTGAACACACAGCTACAAACACATATATTTTCCTTTTTTAAGTCATGTACCAGCAATTACAACCCACGTACAAATTGGACATAAGCGATGGCTAGTGGGTGTGTGGGCGGCAGTAGAGTATGTATTTTGTGCGGATGTGTTCGCTTAGACGCAGCCATGCATAAATGAGCAATTTCGCCAGCGGCGCAGTTTCGTCAACATTTGGCTCAGCAGCAGCAGCCAAAGAATATTTATTGATTTGCAACTTTGGCGTTTGGCTGACAACAAGCGCAGGTTTATAAATTAGCAACAGTCTGCACCACCCATCCATTACCTTCGCATTACTGCCTGTTGGTAGCATGTCGTTTGGTTATTACAGTTAATACCGCATAGAATTTGACTTTTTAAGGATTTATTGCAGTTATCGTTTACTGATAATGCTTAAAAATATTAGCACAATGATTCTTTAATGTCTGATTATTTTTCATAAGTAAAACTAATAAACAAAAAACGGAATAGAAACCATTTTTCAACATTTTCTACCGATTTATAAATTACTAAGTATAAAATTTTGTATTTTTTTTTTTTTAATTTTATTTTTAAAATGTTAACATTTAAAAAACAGAGTACTTTTGTCTCAAAAAACCCAATGAAAAAATGTATGCATGCAAAATAAAAAGAGGAATCAATTCAGTTAACGAATTGCCATTTTTGTTTTTTAAGGAAGATTAAATATTTGTTTTTTAATAGTTTGTTATTTTATAATCAAATTCGAATTCATAACCATATCGTATTTCTAGGTTTCCTACACGTTTTTCTTATTTAGTTCTCACTGTAGTTCTGTTTCCTGGTTTCGCCTGGTCTTATGTTTGCTTATTGAAATTCTGTGTTGCATATCCGCAGGCGCGCACGATTTGTTGAATGTCGAATATACATAGTATACAAAAGCGGGCATCGCGTCGCATCGCTTAGATTGCGTATACGCAGTGTGTGCGGCCTTGTAATGCATATTCAATTACGATTTCCCCGATAGCCCGAAAATCCAGCTGGCAAAGGCATTTTAATTGAAATGCTTAGCGCTGACGTTAAAGCCATCGCAAATACAACAAACTAAGCGAACGACGGGCTGAAGGACCGCTGCCTGTGGCAGCCACTTGACATGCGACGTGCGTTTTATGGGGCAGACGCGAGCGGCGGGCATATATCGGCCGATATGGGGGATATAGAGGAGTGGGTCAGGCCATGGGATGGCTGCTGGCTCGGCTGAAAAAGAGCTGGGCGAGCAGCAGTCAAGTGGCCAACGCCGCATCCAGTTTATTGGACCCTCGACGACCAATGGCTATTTATCGAATTCAGTCAGACAAAGAACTGCCATATTGCTTTCATCATCAGAATCCGGAAAAAAGACGTGCACATGTGCAGCTTACATGTGTTGTATTTTACAAATTGTGTTTTAAGTGGCAGATTTTCGATTAAATCACCTTTGTACTTAAAGGAATTTCGGGTAATTCTTTTTTGGTTTTTAACGGACAGACAGATCCAGAATATATATATTTTAGGGTCGGAAATGGCTCGTTTAGTGCCCTTTTGACTAAAAATTAGAGTACTCACTGCTAAGGTATTAAAAAAACGTTGTTTGCCGACGAAATAAATAAACATTTCAGAAAATTACAAATATAAATCAATTTCGACGGTAAAGCATAAACTCATCAATAAATTTACGCGTTTTATATATACCTTTTTGTGGATTTAAAAAGCAAACAAAAAAACAATAAATAAATTTTGCATTTACTGACAAACTAATCGTTAAGCTAAGAAAAATAAAATATTTGCCGCTTGCGTGGTAAATACGATAAAGGGATCAATAAAATTATTAATCAAAATAAAGAGCCCCTTTTTGGATTTTACTGATTAGATTTATATTTATATACCACAAATATTATTAATAAACTTGATTAAATAAATGGTTAATTTTTATTAGAGTAGATATTCTCATAATAATTTTCATTTAATGATTTTATTTAAATAAATCTGGTCCATTTTATCAAAAGGCTGTTCAATTTTTGGATGTCATATTCTTTATGATCCTCATTCTTGTGTAATTCTAAAATTTGATCAGTTAAAAACATCTGCATATACGCTTGACAGCATTGAAACCCCATATCCCGAAGCAATGTTCTAATCCTTTCCCGATTTTTTCGATGTTTTTTACAGATGGTCGCATGGGCCTGTCGATTTTGCCACTGGCTGCTCTTCTTGCCGGCACATTGTTCACCGTGGGCATAGCCGTTCTATCCGTGGTGGTCATCGCCGTTCGCAGGCGTCGTGGTCAAGGAGCAAGGAACATGTGCGATGACAAGGACAAGCACCTGGGTGAGTCACTACAACATACGCCTGGCTAAATGCTGATGGAGATGGTTCAAATACTCTTCCAAATATCTAACAAACTTATCTTTGATCTCATAAATAAAATAATTGTTAGTCATCAGTAGATTCGATATGTACATAACATTACTTCAAAAATATTCCAAATGCTATAGACTAAATCCTTCTTTGTGCCCAAAAAACCTATTTTAAAATTGCAAAATATGGCAATTTGCTATATCAAGAATGACAGAATATTTAGCAAAAAGGGCTAAAACAGACGTAATTTCTCACAATGTTAGTCTTAAATCATTTTGACTCATTATACCCGTTACTCGTAGAGTAACGTTTCCGACCCTATAAAGTATATATATTCTTGTTCAGGATCACTAGCCGAGTCGATCTAGCCATGTCCGTCTGTCCGTCTGTCTGTCCGTATGAACGCTGAGATCTCGGAAACTATAAAAGCTAGAAGATTGGCATTTTGCATGTAGATTTTAGGAGTTCCTACGCAGCGCAAGTTTGTTTCAAAAAGGTGCCACGCCCCCTTTAACGCCCACAATCGCTTATATACGATTTTAAAAATTTAAATATTTCGGAAAAGTAAAAATGCAGTTTTATTGTGTTTATCAATACCTATCGAAATGTAGAAGAAATTTTTCAAATCGGACCATTCGTTAAAAAGTTATGCGTGATCAAAGTTTCTATCTCCATCTCCCTCGCACTCCCTTTACCTGAGTAACGGGTATATGATAGTCGGGGCACCCGACTATAGCGTTCTCTCTTGTTTTGATTTAACCTTATTAGCTTGTCTTTTATAACGTATTTAGAGATTCTGTAATTGATGCCTATATTAACAGAACTCAAAAATTTTAGCCAAAGTAGTTGCACTAAACCGATTTTCGAAGCATATAAAAACTCAAAAAAAACTAGACTCAGAAAAGTTTGTTGGGATGGCTAAATGCGCTCTTGAAATTGGTCGAAGTAATACCCGGAAGGGTATTCAAAAGCTCAAGACCCCGGGCCAGTCCCTTCGTTCCATTTGCTAATGTTTCATTCTCCTGACAGGCATGGATGTGACGGTGACAGCGCCGCTGGAAACGGGAGCGGGCCATCAGCGGTTGGTGGTGGCCTACACCCTGAAGCAGGGCATCGAGAAGCAGCCGGACATATTGAGCGCCCAGAAGAGCGCCTCGACTGGCGGTGACGCCTCGTCGCCGCTGGGAAATCGGCCGAGTGGTCTCTTCGCCGGCGGAGGAGGGGCATGTGGGGCATCCGCCGCTCCCATGGCCGGCATCGCTGGGAGCCACAAGACCACGGACTATGTAAGTGCCAGTGGGCGGGAGGAGGCGTTGTCCTCCGACCGTGCCATTTATGTAGCCGGTATGTTGTATGTTGGCAAGACTAAAAAAATATAAACTACTAAAGATAGTGGAAACCATTCGTTTGCCTTACTAAATCGCTATTTAAATACCTTTTCCTTAAATTAAATACATTATCATAGAACTATTGTCGTCCTACTTCTTATGCTCATCAAATAGAATGTTATTTAACAAATCACATAACTTGAAGTTAGTCATATTTTTTTGGATTCCTATTTTAAATGTATTTTTCTTAATTTTATGTATGGAAATAGGGAAAAGAATTTATTTTTGACGCTAGGAGCCAACATTAGAGGTTTTATAAACCATCAGTATGCTTAATTAAAACGGTTTTGAAATACATTATATAAATTATATATTTTAATAATATAATAATAATATTTGATGAATTTAATATAGCTTACAAATAAAAGAATGTTATTTTAAAAAGACTATAGTCATGTTTTTAGATTTCTTAAAACATACTTTCATTTGAAGAAAAGATGCCATAAACATAACAAATTTTATCTTAATATTTATTGCTGCTAACTATATTATTTAGATCTATAAACTACTGAGTACCGGCTACATCCCTTCTTTCAGTCATGTTCATAGCTTGCTAACCCATTCCCTATTGCAGGACGCGAATGCGCCGCACCTGAACAGCCCGCCCTCGCAGTCCAGCACCTTGAAGCTGGAGAGTGACCCCGCGGCGGCGGGTGGCGGGGGTGCCGGTGGCGGTGCCCGGGGCGGGAACGGGAACGGCCCCCCACTCCTCTACGACGCCATGCCCACGCTGAGTCGCTACGAGCAGCTGGGCCTGAGCATGGCCAGCTACTCCGCCGGAGCGGCGGGAACAGGGGGCAGCAGCAGCACACTGAGCTCCGCCGGCAGCACTGTGAGCAACGCAATGGCCGCCAACGGAGCCGCTGGGGGAGGGGGCTATGCCGCCCACCTGCACCACACGTTGCCCCACAACCTGGCCCCGCAGCGGGGCCACGATCCGCTCAACCTGGCCGACTACCTGACCACCAGCAGCCTCATAGACTACGGCCTCAACAAGCCGCCCGCCGCGCACATGACGCTGCCCAAGGGCATGGGACTGGGCCTGGGGATGGGCGTGGGTGTGGGCGTGGGCGTGGGCATGGGTCCTGGAGCGGGCCTGGGCATGGGAGTGGGAATGGGATCCGGGATGGCCGCCGGCACGAGCCTGTCGCCGTCGCAGCTCAACACCATCACGCACAAGTCGGCGGCAGGACGCAACCACATCATCACCGATACACTGCCCGGACCCGAGAGCTGCGTCTAAGCACATGGCCTGCGAGCTCATCCCGTCATCCTGGCATCCTGGCATCCTCGCATCCTGGCAACCCGGCATCCAAACAAAAGACTGGCGCACAGCAGTAGCCCAAACACAGCCGAATCAAAGTGACAGCGAACTACTAACTAGTTATGTGAAGTTGCGGTCAAATTAGTGGTAGATAGGGTTTTGGGTAGTGCTTACAAAGTATATTATTTTTAATGGCAATAGTTACTTTATAAGATAACTGATACTTTAGACTAGCAAGAAATAGTCGAAATTAACCGCTTACCGACTTAAGGAATACAAATTTAAATAGTTTATTCTTTTAAATAATAATTGTTAAATCATTTTGAGTTCACTAAAACAAACTTTTTAATTACAATTTAAAAATTAATACGATGATTATTGATTAATAACGGAAACTTTAAAAACAGTAATTAGGTAAAAAAAAAAATGGAAAATTATAAAAAAAATGTTTTAGTAATAAAAGAAATAGGTAATGAACTAGAAAAATGTTTTTTTAAATATACCTTAAACTTATCGGTTGAAAAATAAATCCATGTCTGTTATTTATAATTCTTTTTAAGAGTGTTTATAAGTTGTATGTCTTCAAATTTCGATCATTTTTTTTTGGAAGCCATAAGCAACTACTATTAATTTGACCGCAACTGTATATGGAAACCCTGTTCGGCGACGTCGTTTAGAAGTAATTATTAGACCTAGAGGAGTAGCTAAAGTACGAATATGTATATGTAATGCGTGTGTCTGTGTCTCCGTTCCACTATGGGGAATTTGCCCGATTTTTTGGAATAAATTAATAACTCGCGAACTATGTAACATATTTCAGTGAGGTTTTTTTATAGTGTTCTACATACCTATACACACCTGTTGGAAAAGTTAAAATATATCCACCCCCCCTCCCCCATTTTTAAAAATTTTTTTTAACAAATTTAGAGCTAAATGCTCTTTATTTTCAATTTCAAAAAATCATAGTCGTTTTCTTCTTCATAATTATCAACATCTAGAGACTCGTGTTCGGGTTCATATTCGCATAATAACAATTGAATGACTTCTGTTGGAAGAGCAAACAGCTTATGTTTTCGGACGCGCTTCTTCAAATTCATAGATGAAATGATGGGGTCTGAAGTAACCATGGCTCTCTGAAAAACATCTGTAAAGTTGGAGATTCGACTGTGGGATCAACTAGCTTGCTAACAAAAGTGAATTCGCCATCTTCTTTTTCTCGAAGACCCTTTTGCTTATGCAAAACTTCCAGCAGTGCTGCGTTTTTGATCAAGAGATTGGTTTCTAAAAAATGAAATTACGCGAAAAGTCGCACGAAGCGCACAATGAGACAATATGTTCTGAATTCGCAATTAATGACTCTACAACATGGATATAGACACTCACTGAACAAAGTTAAACATTTTTTTAAAACTCTATTGAAAGTTTAACTTTCTTTCCAAAACCCAAACGAAAACATCACCTGCTACATTTACAAATTGTTAAAATTGGACGCACATATAAAGCAATATATAAGTATTTTTACACAGAACATACCTTGAGAATTGGTAATCTTTTTAAATTTGACTGTCTTACGTCATTTTGTTGCAGAGATAATGATTTGAAAGTGAGCTTCAAAATTAAAGCAAAATGTAAACAAACCATGTGCGCTTGCAACAGCTGACTTTAACAGTTGGTATTTAAATACTAGACTTTTAAGTTAACATTTGCGGTATGTTACCAAACAGCTTGATGTTTTCTTAATGCATTAAATTAAAAAAATAGAAAATCGACATACTTTTAAAAAATACATTTATTCCAAAAAATCGGGCAAATTCCCCATAGTGCGTTCGTTTGTAAATGTTTAAGCTAAGTGTATCCGTAGCTGTACTTGAATACTATATACTTTGACTGGTGTGATTGGAGCCTGCTCCCAGCGCCGAGCATCGAGTTCAGTTGTTAATTTAAGGGGCGCTCCCCACAAGGTGAAACTAATCTTCCAAGCCCTGAACTCACTAAGATGCTTGGAGCAGGGCTTCGCCACAGAACTCGTTGTTAACTCTGTTTGTCCCGGCTAAAATAAGAGGAGCATATCCCTACAAACACATATCCCCTCCTGCCCAAGCCGAAAAAACCAAGCCGCAACTATTTGAACTGCCATCGCAGGCCGAGATCAAAGACAGGCCGACCCGAAAAAAGGAAAAGTTATATTGGACACGTCTTGCGCCATTGCGTGCCCAGTGCTGGTCATTATTTAACTTTTAAACACGCGCCAAAAACAGCAGCAGATTTGAATTTAATGGTCCCAGCTCCGCTCCCCGCTCCCCTCCCCGACCCGCCAGCATCCCACTGCCATTAGCAGTGGCGGCAGCCAACAAGTGAGCAATAAAGAAAAGTTTAGAAAAATATGCGACGGCCATCCCAATCCGAAATCCGAAATCCGACACCCGCAGTCCCCCGACCCCGATAATAAGCTCACGAGCGATTGACTGGGTATAGAGCACAATAAAAGTGGAGGAGCACAAGAACTGGGCACGGATTTGTGCGCACGATAGCGCAAAACGATGACAATAAATGGAAAAGTTTTTAATAAGCTAATAAAATGATTTATGCGGGTCGAGCCGGGATAAAAGGCACGGAGCTGCAGTCGATGGCGATTTGATGAGCCCGATTTTGGTCACTTCCGACACCTTATTAACCTATTAACCAGTTGGACCTGAACACACAACGAATGTATTCTTAAATATTATTTATGGGCCTCTTTCGGGCAGTTCAAATAGGGGCGAGCCTCCTTCGATTATCGTACTGTTCATTGGCAATTGTTATCAAGGCATTAGCATATCAGAAATTCGTATTGAGAGCAACCAGAACATAATGCTAGAGAAACTATATCATAGACAAGGGCTAAGCAACTATAAGTGTTCAAACGTTTGTCATATCAGTTGGGCGATTCTTTTCTATATATGTACGTCTTGAATTTCTAACGAAAACGGTAATGAAAAACAACAAAAAAAATAGTTAAGATAAAATCATCAATAGCGTTTAGTAAAGTCAATGTAATGTCATAATGTTTAAATATAAAAGTTATAGTATTCCAGGCAAACTGATAGAGCAAATCGTAAACTTCCTCCAAGTTTATGCATAGGCAAAGGTCCCCGCTGTAGATATCCAAAAACGAGTGCGAGTAGTGGAAATTTTAAACCCAATCCCAAACCTGTAGCACCACGCCCCTATGTCGAGATCAGCAAATACTATTTTATGGGCCTCAAAGAGGCCAACGTTGTACATACATGCATATAGGCAGCCCCCAAAAAACAGACATATACACATCATTGTAACTAACTACATATGTAAAAATGCTTAAAATATTTGTGATAAAGTAATAACGTTAATAATAAGAAATAAAACGTAAACGTATTAATGAAAATACAATGAGTTTGAATTAAAACAATTTGAATTATTTATTTCACAGATGGGTCAGACTAGGTTTCTTATAAATTGGTTATTTAGTTTTTAAATGTATTTTATTTCGTTTTTATCTTAACCTTTATTTTTGTAAAAAAGCTAACCGTAAAATTATTTATTCAATATTGAACACGTAAATATTTTCTTTTATTTTTTATTTAATCATCAACACAAGTTTAATAAGATTTAAGTATCGACATAAATTTTTGGCGAATATCATAAAGATCATATATATAATTTAATGAATAATTTGTTTAACTTTGTGAAAGTTATCTTATGATTATTATTATTTTCGAAATGGGTAAAAGCAAAACAAAACATTAAATAGGGTTTTCAAACCCTTTTTGTTAAAGTTATATTTTTTTCGAAATAGAAAACGAAAACGTAAAATACAAAAAACAATAGAATCAGAAAAAGTGAATTGAACTGAATTAAAATTTGCATTAGCCCGGATGGAAATCGTTAATTCAACTTTAAAAAAAAGTAGTAACACAAAAAATGTAATTTGGTAAAATAGAATAATGAAGGAACATTATTGATTTTATATAGAAATCGTTTGATTTAGTTCGGTTATTCTTAGCAAAAATAGGGATTTGAAAAAACACAACCACCGACCGTTTTCAACTAAATAATTTAATTTGTAACTTTAGAGTTTGTGATATTTTAAACTTAAATGTTTAACCAGCAGTTCGGATTTAAATTTAAATAAGTGCAGTTCACAATAGTGGACGGCGCCAAACAGTGTTGGCAAGCGTGCGCGGTATCTGGATAAAGCAGTCTCTAAAAAGCACTAACGCGTGGCCAGCATAAACATCTGTTTGTTGGTACTACAAAAATGTAGGAGTATTATTGATGTGCTAACTTGTTTGTTTGCGGGCTTTTTTCGGCGCCCACCCTTGTTATTAGAGTCTGTTGACAGTGCTCATCCATACACAAGTACAAAATTGCCATGGCAACGTGAATTGAATGTGGAAAACAAAAACACGCAGAAGACCTTCGAAGATCGTCGCACGCAATTGCACATTATTGCATCAGAAACGAGTTCCTCGGACCGATTTTAAAAAGTGAGTTAGAGTGCATTGACATGGTTTTGGTTTGGCTGATGAAATCGCTATGCGAATTATGTGTATATGTTTCTGGTGAAATCCCTCCCTCGCCTGGGATTCTCACTTTCTGCCTCTTTGTTTGTTGCTGACTCGTTCGGCAGTTATTCCCCGCAATTCGAACGGAAAAGAGCTTTCAATCAATTTCGAGATATAGCGTCATTCGCAGCTGATCTGATCAAAACAAAAACGTGTGTGTAGAAAATCAGATGTGAAACAAACGCTGCGAAGACAAGACGCGAAAAGCTGACTAAAATACGGGCCAAAAAGGTGTAGGTCTGGTCGACCTGAACATCCGCTTCCTAAAATTGACGGTGCGTTGATTATTTTTTTTTATCGTTTTAATGGTGTGAAACTGAATAATTTTGCAGTACTCATAAATAAATAGTGTTTTTTTGCATATTTACTAGCTTCTAAATTTATATTAAATGCATATTTGTCTAAATTTTAATTTGAAAATAATATTGCCGCTTTGCCATATCCCAAAATGTTTATATGTATTTCCAACTAGTTTTATTTGAAATATATAAATTCTATTACTCTGACTTATTAAAATGGCACAATTTCTACAACCATCAAAAGTGAAATTTTTTTGATGCTGAAAATGTTGAAGTTTAAATGAAGATTAAATTAATGAAGATCTTAAATCTTTACAATTTTTTTTTTAAATAAATATATAATATTATATATATAAAGAAATTTTAATTACAAATGATTTCAATTTTTATTAGAAGCTTGGGAATTGTCTGGCCATATATGAATTAAAATTCACAACTGTATAAAGTGTAAGTGTAAAAAATGTTCTTTAAGAGAATTCAAAACTTTGAAACATCATCAGATAACTATCCAATTTTATGAGTATACAAAGTAAATTAATAAATATTGTTTAAAAAAAATTGCAAGCAATCTTAGAGATACAAAAGTGTAGATAACCAAGTGGAATGTACCACCGTTTACGTGGCTGATTCCCCAAAACGCCCCAGCTGTAGGGTATTGCGAAAGCTTTTCAAATTATTTATGTACTCGGGCCTTTTGGCTTGTGCTTTGGCTCGCTCACTCATTCGTTCGCGGGCACTAAACAAAGCGGAGCAGGTTATAAACAAATCGAAAGGCAGCCAAAAACAGAAAGCACAAGTACTCAGCACCCAGAACCCAGATAGCCGAATAACAAATTCGACCTGGGCAAATGAAAAGCGCAGCCAAAATCGATAATTTGTGCCAGCGTCGCGCGCAAATAGGAACTGTTTTTGCGTTTAATATCACAAATAATTTCAAACCGTTCGGTTCGACCAGTAAGCCGAATCTATAGAATATCTGGTAAGATGGAATATGGAATTTGACGTATTATCTGTTGTCTATCCCCCATTCGTGTGTGTCCAAACAAAGGCAAATGTCGTGGCAAACATAAACAAGCGTTTCAAGGTCGCTGCAAGTCAAAGAGGACGGAAAAAAACAAACGAAGAAAATTTGAGTTTTGTGGATACACATAAGGGAACGGTTGCGGTTAAAAAATAGCAAAGCCAAGATTTATTTAAAAATATATAGTGCTTCTAATCAGCCCACTGATTTGACATAAAATAAAAAAATTATACTTAATGGTAGAATTAAAATTTTGTATGAATGACACAACATAAAATTAAACTCGTATTGGTGGATATATCCACCGGTTTAAACCAAAACATTTTTTTTTTAATAAAATTATCGTTTTTTTGATTTATTAATATTTAAATATTGGAAGACTATTTACGGCATTAAAGTATATTTTCTCCTTTATATCTTAACGCTATTATTTCAGCCACAGCTGTTCAAAAATCGGTTTGTGTATTTCTGTTTGTATTTCAATGTCGCAATTGGCGGAAAATATGTGCTCTCAAAAAAAAGCGTTTCTTTGTTTAGGATAAAATTAATTTCATTAACCCTCTCGTTTAGAAATACATACTTAATTAAAATGTTCAATTCCAGCCACACAGTATGGAGTCATTCCTGAGTCTCTTCGATCCCAACCAGGACGACGGCTTCGAAGAGGAGCCGGAGCTAAATGGCAAC